TAGGTTAATCTTAAAATAATTGTGTTAATTGAAACAATGCAGACAAAAGAGTATATCTTACATAATTCCATTTACATAAACCTTTATAAAATACAAATTGATTTATAGTGACAGTAATATCAGTGGTGTTGTGAAAGGGGCAGGAGGGTGAGATTATAAAGAAGCATGAGGAAACTTGTAGGTGATTGATATATTCATTAACTTGATTATGGTGATGGTTTCATAGGTGTATACATAAATCAATCAATCCTTACAGATTGCACACTTTAAATTGTGTGCTGTTTATTGTTTGTCAGTTATATCTCAATAAAGCTGTTTATTTTGACAAATTGTCAGCCATTTACAGGAAAAGGGAGATAATTTTCTGAGGCTCATATAGCTACTATCCTTGATCATGAAACAGCTCTGAACTTTTTTGCAGTAGAAATTTTGCTGCTATGTACCATTGTATCTACCACTTGCCTTTTGGGTACCAGTTTCTATCTTTGAAAAATGAAAATGAACCTTAAAGTCTTTTACAAGAAGATACATTGAGAATAATTATAAACATGTATCTTCTAAAATAATTTAAAAGAAATTCAGTTGCATTGATTTCATAAACCCTAACATAAAATTGGCTGATAAATTGCTATGAATTAAGAAACTTAAAGTTTAAATGGGAATTAATAGTTAAGAACTATTTGTAAAGAGTATATTGATTATTTTTTTGAACATCTGTTCTGTGCCAAGCAATCAATCAGAAGTTTTTTTAAACACCTTTATTGAGATATAATTTACATACCATACAATGCATCCATTGAAAATGTATAATTATCTGATTTTACTATATTCACAAATACATGCAACCATCACCACAGTTGATTTTGTAACATTTTCATCACTGCAAAAAGAAGCCCCAGACTGCTGAATGGGTATAGCGTTTCCTTCTGGGGTGATGAAAATTTCCTGGAACTAGATAGTAGTGGTGATTGCACAACATTGTGAATGTACTAAATATCACTGAATTGTGCACTTTTTAAGTAGTGCATCTTATGCTATATTGTATCCACCACACCAAACACACACACACACACACACACACACACACACACACACACACACACACACACACACACCATTTTAGGTATCTACTGCTGCCTCCCATTTTTCAAGCCCTAAGAAACCACTAATATACTTTCTGTTTTTATAGATTTGCCTATTCTGGACATTTCATATGAATGTCATCACAGAATATGTTATCTTTTGTTACTGGCTTCTTTAACTGAGAATATTTTCAAGGTTCATCCATGTTGTAGTTTGTATCAGTACTTTATTTATTCTTTTATGGCTGAATAATATTCCACTGTATAAATATGCCACATTTTATTTATCCATTCCTCAGCTGATGGACATTTAGGTTATTTCCATCTTTTATCTATTTTAAATAATGCTTCTTTGAACATCTGTGTACAAGTTTTTGTGCGGTTGTATGTTTTGATTTAATTGTGTAATATATCTAGGAGGAGAATTCCTAATAACTCTATGTTTAACTATTTGAGCAACTGCCAGACTTTTATCCAAACTGGCTGCACCATTTTGCTCTCCCACCGGTAGTGTATGAGGGTTTCAATTTCTCTACATCCTTGCCAACACTTGTTATAATCTGACTCATTGATGATAGCCATCCTGGTGAGTAAGAAGTGTTATCACAGGGTTTTGATTTCCATTTCCCTAACGACTAAAGATGTCAGGCACCATTTCATGTAACTTTTTTTCTAGAAACATGCTCATGTAGTCAATATTTTGTATAGGCTTTTAGAGGTTCATGAACTCTCAATGTTATGAACTCCTAGAGTAGAGTTATTGGGTGGACACATGAAGAGAAACTGCCATTGTAGTTATTATAAATTACATTTAATCATAATAAATAATTTTGACATTAGTTGCACTGAAATATTGGATTGATTTCCACTACATGACTCTTAATGAGAATAGAAGAGGAAGAGTCCTAATTCTTATTGGGATGAGGAATGTACATTACATGTCACCATCTTTTATATCAAAGGGCAACTCCACAGACTGAATGAGATAGGAAAAATTACCTATCCCTTATTTGTACAAATGACATCATACTTAATAGGATTAGAAAACCAATAAAATAGATGTCTATATACCTCTGTATAGGGAGGTATTTGTGTAACGAGAGAATGAAAAGAGGTCCAAGGAAATGCTAACCTGAAAGATCATTCATTTTCAGTATGAACAGTGAGTATTAGAAAAAATAAACAGCATTCAACAAAAGTCAACTGTTATTTTGGTGAGTACTGCCACTGTAACTTTACACCTATGACATAGGAATGTTGTCTGTTCCTAGAGAGTACATGAGCATTTGCCCAGTTGTCTGAAGAGTCACCTACAAAGTTTGAATCTTTGCTATGACTGGATGGTGTAACAGTGACCTAAACTTTGGGGACTCAAAGATATTTGCTTGGACAGCTTTGAGGGTGTCATTACATTCCATGCATATACTTAGAACCTGAGAAAACCTACTTATATTGGAGGATTACACATTTTCATTTCTTAAGGTAGCCAACCTCACTCTCTCCACCAGATCAGCTTTTACAAAATGGAATTATTTGGAGTTGCAATTAAAATTCCTGGCAGAAGCTCTTCTAGGATGTACCATTGCTTTACTGCAAAGACAGCAAATAAAAATAAGCAATTCAAGATCTGTACCTTATTTCACCTTCTCTAATGTGGCCTGCCAGTTCTTCAATAAATTTCTCCCCTTTCATCCAGTAGATCATTGGTCCAGATTCTCCACTGAATCCAAAGAATGCTTTGCAAGGGATGTTCAGAGGCTTTCCTGAGAATGACAGAGAAAAAGAAATGAGTAAATAGCTCCTGGTTTTCACTGGGGGACAGAAAAGAACCATTTAAAATACAGAAGAAAACTCAGAGGTGACCCATTTTCGACTCATCTTCCAATCATCTTATCACTGTACATAAGAAAAAACTTAAATGTTAAAAGGGCTCCTGGGAAATTTTAAAATTCAAGATTTACCAAAAATGAGAAAGTAATTGCTTATTTTTACTGCCTCCCTCCTAGGAACTAGTATAAAAGAATTAATAGAAAGCATCTCCTTTTATTTTTCTTTGTTGAGAGTATTTATTACTGCTTACTTGGAATTGCTTTTGAAGTGAACATTAATCAAAAGTGTAAGTTAATTTTTTATTGGTGAGAAAACATATGCTAGACTATCTACTATTATTAAGGTTGCAAGAGGAAAATTGTTTATTCTGATGATCGTCTAGTCTGAAAAAAAAATGGATAATACAAATGAAAGGCAAATCTTTTAATTAGAAAAACATCTATAAAATTTACATGCAATGAAAACTCAGTCTAACCATATTTTCTATATTATTTGTGTTCCCCACAGTACTTAAATAATTGTAGGCAAGACCTAAGCACTTTTTGATTATTCATCTTCATGATTACAGCTAAAAACTCTTCTTAACTGTAATTTATTATCAAACATATAATCAATTATTTTGCTGGCATTGATTTTATTTTCTTCTTGCAAAGTAGATCAGTAAAAGAAAAATCAGTAAGAGCACAATCTTGACATTTCTGACATAAGAATTCCCCAATTCATAAATTGTAATACAGCATATCATTTTCTGTATAACACACATTTTTTGTCCTGATTGGAGCACTAAAAAAACAACTTTCCCTTGTAGAGTACATGGTAGACGTGTTCTCATAATTGCTCTGAGCTGCAGACATTTTAAAAATTCCATTCTTAAATTGATTAAAAACTTCCATATTCTAAGAATCATTACATTCTGTTTCCTCACTATAACCAGCACGTGGCTTTCTTTGAGGACTATTTTCACACAGAAGCGATTTGAATGGAAGTTAGGGTCTACAAAATACAAAGTGGAAAAAAAAAAAAGAATTATCTTAACTCAAAAAAAAATGCAAAGTGGAAAACCTCACAGACGTGTGGATGCTGGTGATAGGCTGAACTTAACCATAATAAGTGATTTGTTGTCAAATATTGATCATATTGTAGTAAAAATTTATATCTCAGAAAAATGACATGTTGTGGGCTTTGGGGATTATTTAATTATTGTCAAAACCTTTGATGTCAAAAGTCTGGTTTATATATTTAATACAAATCTGAAACGAGGTTATTCATTGTTGCTTTGAACATGTGCTCTGTGATATAAGCTTGTGTAAAACTGAAAGGCAGCCTTGTATAGTGGAGAGTGCACTGGACTAAGAGGAGACTTGGATCCTAGTTTTAGACCTATCATGAAACAAACAAACAAACAAACAAACAAACAGACTATTTGGTCCTGAGCAGATTACCTAAATTTCTGTAAACTGATTTCTCATATATGTAATAACAGG